CTGCAGGAGTCCAGGGCGGGGAAGGCGGTGTGGACCGCGCCTCCAGGAGGCTTACCTGTGTGTGCAGTGGGCGTCTTTCTCCCGGGGACCTGGCCCGTGTACCCCTGAAGAGGCAGTGAGCAGGAGAAAAAGGCACAGCCCCCCCCCCCCCTTCTGTGCTTTCCTGCCCTGGGGTCGCCGTGTTTGCAGAATAAGCAGCCTCTGGGTGTCAGAGGCCAGGAGAGGGGGGCATTCAGGAATGAGATTTCTTTAGGGGCTGGAAGGAGGCAGAGAAGGCTTATCTTTTCCTAGGGAGCTGAGGGAGCCTTGGTCGTTGCGTTCGGGGCTGTGTATGGTGTTTGGCCTTGGGAGGGAAGAGAGTGTACTTGCTGAGACGCACAAGTTTGCTCCTGGGAGGAAAGGAGGCAGAGAACAGTCTGGGCCAGGCGCTCTGCTAACGAAGCATGGGGTTGTGTCGGAGCGAACGCTCCCACTCGGCTCCAGGGTGCAAGTTTCCCACCCAGCCAGGCCTGCGACCCCTCTGCCTGTCTCTTGAGACCAAGCCACCAGGTCTTTTGCGGTCCTTTGGGAAACGTGGTATGGTGACGGTGCATGCAGGGGGCGGGGCCGCTGTCTGGCCCTCCAGGGCCCTTCACTCCTGCTCGGAGTGGTGGTGTCTTCCGCAGAGCAGAAGGCTCATCCGTCTCTGTCTCTGGCCACCCACAGATCAAGCGGCTGAGAAGGAGGCGCCGTCATCGGAGCTGCTAAGATGGGCATGAGGATCAAACTGCAAAGCACCAACCACCCCAACAACCTGCTGAAGGAACTCAACAAGTGCCGGCTCTCAGAGACCATGTGCGATGTCACCATCGTGGTGGGGAGCCGCTCCTTCCCGGCCCACAAGGCCGTGCTGGCCTGCGCGGCCGGCTACTTCCAGAACCTCTTCCTGAATGCCGGACTTGACGCCGCCAGGACCTACGTGGTGGACTTCATCACCCCCGCCAACTTCGAGAAGATCCTGAGCTTCGTCTACACGTCGGAGCTCTTCACGGACCTCATCAACGTGGGGGTCATCTATGAGGTGGCCGAGCGCCTGGGCATGGAGGACCTCCTCCGGGCCTGCCACTCCACCTTCCCTGACCTGGAGAGCACTGCCGTGGCCAAGCCCCTCACCGGCCCCGGGGACAGTCACCCTGCGGCCCTGAGTTGCCCCTCAGCCGAACCTGCCCACCCGCTCGGCGAACTCCGCAGCGGTGGGGAGCACTTCGTCCCCGACAGAAGCTACGTGTTGCCCAGCGATGCCGGCGGAAGCTACAAAGAGGAGGAGAGGAGCATCGCCGGCGACACCGGCCACGGCCTGCCTCTTTCGCAGCCGCCGCTGCCACCAAAGACAGAAGACCACGATGCTCCTGCTGCCTTCCCGTCCGTGCCCAGTGTGGTGGGCCAGCCAGCCCTGGGCACCGTCAGCACAGGCATCCAGGCCAGCGCGAGCTCCTGCCAGCCGTACAAAGTTCAGAGCAACGGAGACTTCGGCAGGAACAGCTTCTTCACCTCCGACAACGCAGTGGACGTCACCACGGGGGCCAACTCCTGTGTGAGCAGCAGCGACCACTCCAGAGAGCCGGGCTTCGGGCAGGTGGACGAGCTGCAGCTCGAGGACCTGGGGGATGACGAGCTGCAGTTTGAAGACCCCACCGAAGAGATCGGGGCCCCGGAGGAGGTGATCGAGCTGAGCGACGACAGCGAGGACGAGCTGACCTTCGGCGAGAGTGACAGCCGCGAGAGCAAGGCCATGCCCTGCCAGGTGTGCAAGAAGGTTCTAGAGCCCAACATCCAGCTGATCCGGCAGCACGCCCGGGACCACGTGGACCTGCTGACGGGCAACTGCAAGGTTTGCGAGACCCACTTCCAGGACCGGAACTCCCGGGTGACCCACGTGCTGTCCCACATCGGCATTTTCCTCTTCTCCTGCGACATGTGTGAAACGAAATTCTTTACCCAGTGGCAGCTGACCCTCCACCGGCGGGACGGGATCTTTGAGAACAATGTCATCGTGCACCCCAACGACCCCCTGCCCGGGAAGCTGGGTCTGTTTCCAGGGACAGCCTGCCCGGAGCTGAAGTGCGCTGCCTGTGGGAAAGCATTGGCCAAAGATTTCCACGTGGTCCGGGGCCACATCCTCGACCACCTGAACTTGAAGGGCCAGGCCTGCAGTGTCTGCGACCAGCGCCACCTCAACCTGTGCAGCCTCATGTGGCACACGCTCTCCCACCTGGGCATCTCCGTCTTCTCCTGCTCCGTCTGTGCCAACAGCTTTGTGGACTGGCACCTGCTGGAGAAGCACATGGCCGTACACCAAAGCCTGGAAGACGCCCTCTTCCGCTGCCACCTGTGCAGCCAGAGCTTCAAGTCGGAGGCCGCCTATCGCTACCACGTGAGCCAGCACAAATGCAACAGTGGCCTTGACGCACGGCCCGGCTTTGGGCTGCAGCTCCCAGCTCTGCAGAAGCGGAAGCTGCCGGCCGAGGAGTTCCTGAGCGAGGAGCTGGCTCTGCAGGGCCAACCTGGGAACAGCAAGTACAGCTGCAAGGTCTGTGGCAAAAGGTTTGCCCACACAAGCGAGTTCAACTACCACCGGCGCATCCACACGGGCGAGAAGCCGTACCAGTGCAAGGTGTGCCACAAGTTCTTCCGAGGCCGCTCAACCATCAAGTGCCACCTGAAGACGCACTCGGGGGCCCTCATGTACCGCTGCACGGTGTGCGGCCACTACAGCTCCACCCTCAATCTCATGAGCAAGCACGTGGGCGTGCACAAGGGCAGCCTCCCGCCCGACTTCACCATCGAGCAGACCTTCATGTATATCATCCACTCCAAAGAGGCCGAGAAGAGCCCGGACAGCTGACTGGCTCCCCGTGGAGCCTGGGGCAGCGCCCGCAGGGCAGCCAGGACGCTGGTTTTCCCGATGGCCCTTGGGCCCTCCCCAGCCAACGTTGCAGTTTTGCCTTGCTAGGAATTCTGTTCTGTGTTGTGTCGAAAGGAGAGAGAGAGAGCACACGAGCCGTTGCCATCTTTTTATGAAGCAGCGGCCCTATTGCATTTACCTCCACACCCGTTCTTGCCCACGAGGGGCGTTTCTGATTCCTTGGAGGCTGGTTTTGGGATCTGGCCAAGCAGCTGGTGTCAGCTAGGTCCCCTGCCCAGCCTCTCCGGTTTTAGTTTACTGATAGGTTTTATGCTGCTAAGAATCCAACCGACAGCCTCACCGGAAGAGAGGAGGTAGAGAGAGGTTTTCGTTCACTGTGGGTGTTAGTGCCGGACCTCCGACCGCGACGACCAGCCGTGAGAAGACTGGGGGAATGTGGTCGTGCAGAGAAGCCTGGGCAGCAGGCCCGCCCCTGCAGGGCCCAGCGCCAGCCCGCAGCAGGGCAAAGGTGTCAGGGATGGAGGTGCCTGCTGGCTCCGCGGCCCTAATCTGCTGACTGGACAGCGAGCAGCTTTGGGGCAGCTAGATCCAAACTGGGGACAGAGCTTTCTGTTCAGGTCAGGAAGCTCTGGGATGAGTTCTTGTCTGCCGGAAGGGGTGTCCTGCAGTGCCGCCTCGAGTGGAAGCCCGGATGGACAGGAAGGGAGGTTGCTCTTTTCTTCTCATTTCCAAAGAGACATGCTTTTTTGCGGAGTGATGGCCCAGGACGCCGGGGCCCCGCTGTGGGGCAAGAGGACGAGGAGCCACTTTGCTGGAGTCACCTGTCGCTCTGGCCAGCTCCGTCGGCCTTGATTTCCTGGTGGGGAGGTGGGGATGCCCCTGACAACAGCAGCCTTGCCTTAATTTATGTTTGTGCTCCACCCAGAGGTGTTTGGCCGGTAGCGGCGACGAGAAGAGCCCAGTAGGCAGTGGCGTGGTGGACTCTGAGCCCTCCAGGGTGAGAGGGACCCGAGTGCGTGGTGGTGTGTAGCAGGGTGTGTGTTCTGTTTGTCCCGGTTGGGCAACCTGTTGTTTACTTTGTGCTAACAGTGCGGCTGCTTTGGCCCGCTCACCTTTGACCTGCTGGAAATTATCCCGATCTGTCTGCCCTTGCATCACCTCCAGGGGGCGCTGTTGGATGACGGCTGCTTCAGGCCCTCCCTGGATGTCCAGGACCGCGGGACCAGTGGCTCCATTCTTAGTTGGTTTTTGCTCAAGTCTTGCCCAAAGAAGGCTGGAGGGAGGGCCCCTGGACCTTGTGTACCCGCAAGGGGGCACCTCAGTAGCTCATACTACCTCACCCTGCTCAGGAGAGCTCTGGGAGTCCCTGCCCCGGGGACCGTGCAGCACCCCGGGCTGTTTCACAAGCAGGTGTTTTAAGTAACCCACAGAGCCTTTTTGGACCTTACTATTTATTTATTTGTTTTGTTTTGTTTTCGTATACACATTACCCAGCATCTCTTTTGCATAAGAGACTTCAGGAAAATGCGTTTCTTCTCAGCAAGTAGCCATATTCCGGGGGACAGTCCTGCCTGGAGATTGGAGGAACATACGTGGAGGCTTTAAAACAGCAGGTTCTTTTCTTCTTCCCCACCCTTTGGAGTAGGTGTGAGTTCTGGAAAGCCGGGTAGATTCCCAGACCCTCCGTGCCCCTTGTGTGGTCCTGGAGTCAGGAGAGACTGGGTTGGGGGGCGGGGTCATACGCAGGGCCTCGTCCACATGGAGACACGCGGGGCACCCGCAGCTCTGTCCCTGTTGGACCCCAGGCTGGGGCGCCTGGCTGGCTGCTGGGGTGCCCGTCAGATGGAGGGACTTGTCCAGTGGCCAGTTGAGGGCCTACCCTTGACCCTCGCCACCCAGTTCATTCACGGTCCCCTCAGGACTTTCTCCTTGGGCGAGCGGTGCCGAGGCTTTTCCTTAGGACTGCTGGCTTCCCATTGCTCGACGCTGAGCTCTGGGCGTTTAGGCCATGAGGGGGCGCAGACTGCAGTCTGGTGTGTGTGAGCTTCGTGAGCAGGTGTGGCTGGCAAGGACTGACTGAGGGGGCGGTACCTGTGCAGCCCAGCCAGGCCGCTGGGGATGGAAGACTTGCTGGAGAAACCCTTTCCTTAGTGGCCATCGGGGGTGCCGGGTGGTCTGCGTACCTAACTGAAACTGTGAAACTTGCCCTTGCTGCCAGTAAACCAAAAAGCGGACCCTTGGAACACTAAACTAAAAACAAGCTCCCGGCGGTGGCTTGGGAGCTCCCGGGGCCCCTGACCAAAGCCCTGCCCAGCGGCGGCGCCCCGCTCCCGCCTGGACTCCGTCGGGAGCTGCCTTTGCTTCCTCCGCCTCTAGTTCACCTTCCGAATCGTCTTACTCACACTGTGTTGGCGAGGGCCCTCGGGCCTGGCCGGCGGGAGGCACTCACTCCATTTTGCCGTTTTGAGTCGTGTGGTCCCATTGTCTCCCGGAGCCCGGGGGACCTCGCGTGCCCTCCCATCCCCCGTTCTCTCTCGTTCTGTCCTCAGGACCCGCTCCACTGTCACAGAGCCCTCGTGTTCACATGACCGGGACTTTGAAGGTGACGACTGTAGCGCGTTAAACCCAACGCGGGCTGCTTCCCAGTCCCCTAAGGGCAGGCGGAGGTACTGCTGTGGCACCCAGGGCTGTTTTCAGCCAGAGGGCGGGATCCGTACTCCAGTGCCCGGTGATCCTGGTGTTGGTCCTAACCGTAAGACTCCGTGGAGTCCCTCCCTGCGTTCGTGGCTACTTGGGAATAGAGGAGGTGGGGTGGGGGCTTGGCCCAGGTGACCCTCAAGAACAGGAAATGGGTAAGAGTTGTTGACTTCTCTTTAGACTGTCAGCACCCCTCTGAGTCCTGGACAAGCCTCTGGGCCTCCGCACCTTCTTCCCAGTCAGGTTTTTGCTACTGATTTTTCCTCTCCTGGTCTCCTGCTGTGCCCCGTTGTCCAGACCCCAGACCACTCAACCTCAGAAGTGGGTTTCACTCCCTTTATTGATGGACACTGAGTCTGTTGGCATGGGGGTGGGCCGTGCCCCCCCGGGGGTTCCCAAGTGTCCTCCTGCCTAGCTTCGCACCGGCCAGCTGAGGAAGCGGTGGGGTTACGCATCACGCGCTGCACAGTGAGAAGGAAACTTGATTTTGATGTTTCTTTAACACTCCTCCCCATCCCCCACCCCACCCCCCCCCAGCCTGGTCCGCTGCGCAGCTGTACTGGCTAAAGTCTCTTATGAAACAGACGAGTTCTTAACGTCCGACTCCTTCCATTAAATTAAGAAGTACTGACCTCCTAATATTTAAGTGTTTACTATCTATTGCTGTAAAGTTTTGTATATTTTGTAAACTTCTTTTCCCAAATAGTAGATGTCTAAAATCGTTGTACATCTGATTCTTTTATATTCCATTGTTCAGCACAAAGTGTGGTTTTTATTTAGAATAAAAAAAAAGAAATCTGAAACGGGAGTTGTTTTCCTGTGTGCCACGAGCGTGCTCACAACATCTGGGCTCCTGGTCCTGTCAGCAGCAGGTCTCTCAGCAGGCGCCCGGCACGCGTTCCTGTCCCGGGGCTGGAACGCCCCGGGGTTCGTGTGCTGACATGTGTTTTAGTGGGTGCTGAAGTCAAAGCCTGCACCTGTTCAGGGAGCTGTCCCTGAGCGCTGGCTGGGCCACCCTGCAAAGTGAGCGACTGGCCGCACGCTGTGTTGCCGACACTCACTCCTGTGCCTCGCTGGGACTGGGCAGAGGCGGATGCAGAGTGAGAGCAGAGGGAGGGTCAAGCAGGGAGGAAGCAGAGGTTTGGTTTCACTTTGAGGTGGATCCAGATGTGTTCCCACGGAGGAGACAAACCTCTGGCTGTTGGAGGTTGGTGTGGCCCAGGCCAGGCTCCCATGACAGCCTTGTTGCAGTCAGTGCCGCCAGTTCCCACTGCCCACACGTGGGTGAGTGGAAGGGCCCTACGGAAGTAGTCAGTGCCAGGGTGATAACGGCTTGGGGAAGTGGCGTCTGAGTGACCTGGGGCAGGACGGAGGGCGCATCTTCCAGGAACGGGTGGGGTATGACACGGGCATCAGATCTTGGCTTGGTGGTGGTTTGTTTTGGTCGAGGGGCAGAGGTACAGATAAGGGCTCCCGTCTGTTGGTTCAATTCCTGTAATGGCTACGGCTGGGCCCAGGGAGGAGCCTGGAACCAGGAGCTCAGTCCAGGTCTCCCAGGTGGGTGGCAGGGACCCAACCACTAGAGCCATCGCCTGCCGCCTCTGAGGGTTTGCGCTGGTAGGAAGCCAGGACGAGGAGCTGGAGCTGGGAGTTACACCCAGGCGTTCTGATTGTGGCTTCAGGCGGTGTCTGAAGCGCCAGGGCAAACCCCTGCTCCTCTGCTGGGTGTTGAACAAGGTCCCTAATGCAGTCTTTGCATTTTTAGGTTAGGCCCCATTGCAGCCCTGAGCCACAACCCAGACTCTTGATCCCAAAAGCCTTCAGCCCTGCACTGGGGCGCTGTTTGTTGCTCCAGGCCCTTAGGTGTGGGCGCGTGCACCAGCGGAGTGCACGCTGAACGCCTCCCATGAGTACAACTTCAGGTTTCTACAGGCGGAGGAGACGGGAAGTGAGAGGATTCCAGACACGGAGCTGTTGAGTGGGACGGAGGAGACCCTGGGGTGATCAGAGATCACATCCACCACCCCTCCCTCTCCACAGCAGGACTGAGAGGATGTGGAAGTGGAAACAGAAGCTAGAAGCTCGTCTCGGGCTTTTACTGCACGGTGCTTCCTGGACACGGTCCGACTTTCCCAAGACCTGCCTGTCAACAACAGGGCTGCTTATCTACAGAACAAGTGTTTATGAGCAGAAGTAGCCGGACAGGAAAACAATGAAAAGAGATGGCCAGGGAGAACTGACTTAACACAGCGTCAGCACTCTGCCCTGTGACAGAACTCGGAAATTTCCACTCCCCCCATCCTGCGGCGGGGACAAAGGCTGAGGGATGGAGCACCTGCCAGGCCCTGCTGCTGCCGTCCCAGGATCTGCTCCCAGCACGGGTGCCCCGTGATCTGGAGGGAAAAGGAGAGATGAGGGTGGGGCGGGCGGTTCTGATAGCTCCGGGTCTTCCTGGAAGCCTCGGAGCATCCCGGATCCAAAGCTGGGAGTATGTCCCTCAGCTTCAAGGAACACTGACTCAGGGACAGCCCCTCTGCTTTGGAGGAGGGGGAGCAGGATGGACAAGGGGGAGGGGAGCCACGGCCAGGAAATAGAGCCCCTGTTTCCTGGCTGGCTGAGGGTGGAGAAACCATCCTGCTGACCCAGCTGCAGGGTGCCTGTGTCTGGCCCTGGCCTTGTCCCCATCCTCCCAGCCCCTGACTTATCACAGCCCTGAGGATGCACGGCCAGGGGCCGCCCTGCTGGGGCCTCCTGGTTCCCTGGCCTCTGGCCTCTTGTCCCCATGGTGAGCTGGAAGTGGAACAGGCAAACACACAAGGGACATGTTGTGAGGTTCCTACAGCGCCCCCTCTTTCTAGCCCCCTGGGTGATTTGTGAAACGGGGGGTCCCCTTGCTTCTGCCAGCTCCCTTCCCAACTGCAGCTGGAAGCATGGGGTGATCAGACATCGGAGACAGAGCCGCCTCTACGCTTTATTTCACCTTTGTTTTTTTCCTGCATGGCCCCTTGGATACAAGGACCTGTTCTCTGTCCCCACCCCCGCCACCTCTCCATTTTGAGGGCTACTCAACATGGCCCGCAGGTGCTCAGATGCTCACACCCCAGGAATCTCTCCCCTGGCCCTCCCGCCTTCCCTTCACTCACGAGGTGCCTGCGGCCCACCTCCGCTGGGCGTGGGAGGTTGGGGCACGGAGATGGGCGAGGTATTTGGAGGCAAAGAGGGCGCCTGGCAGTTGGGGCCCTGGTGTGGCCCGGGGCCTGCTGCAGAGGGCGGGCTGCCCTCCTTGAGGATGACGATGGAATGCTGCGTGGAGGAGGCAGAGGAGCCCCGGCCGCCTGCACGCGCCTGGTCCTTGGGGAGGTAATGGACCACGGCGCTCACCAGCCGGCCCCGGAAGCTGGGGCTGAGGAAGTTGTAAAGGATGGGGTTGGCGACGCAGTGCAGCATGGAGAAGCAGTCGATGATGTCATAGAAGAAGTAGAGCAGGTGGGCCAGGTAGCAGTGGAGGGAGATGTGGGTCCCGTACAGGGTGAGCAGCAGCAGGGCCAGGTGATAGGGCAGCCAGCAGATGGTGAAGACGGCTATGTAGGCACAGAGAAGCAGGCTGTGGCGCCGGCCCTCGGACTGCCCCGGCCACCGGAGCCTGCAGGCCGTGAGCACGTTGAAGACAGCGATGAGAGGGAAGGGCAACACGAAGCCCAGGATGGTGGTGGACAGGGACACCAGCAGGCCCCAGGAGTTGTATGTTTCGAAAGGCGCCATGAAGAGGCACATGGGCTCCAGGCCCTCCATCAGCTGAATGTGCACCACCTCAGGCAGCGGCGCGATGGCCGCGAGGACCCAGACGCCCGCACACACGGCCCGGCGCGCTCGGTGCTGGTGGCGCTGCCAGGAGGCCGAGGCTCGCGTGAGGGTGACGTAGCGGTCCACGCTGAGGCACACCAGGAAGAAGATGCTGCTGTACATGTTGGCCAGGTAGAAGTAGTGTGTGAAGCGGCACGCGAAGCTGCCCCACAGCCAGGTATAGTCCAGGGTGACCTCCAGCATCCACACGGGCAGCGACAGGATGATGCCCAGGTCCGCGACGGCCATGTTGAGGACGTACAGGTTGAGCAGCCCCACGCGGCCCGCACGTCGCCAGTTGACGCAGATCACCAGCAGGTTCTCCACCAGTCCCACCACGAAGATGGCCAGGTAGACCACAAACAGCACCGCACGCTTGGTGTTCTCGCTGAGGTTCAGGTGGCACTCGGAGAGCGTGGCGTTGAGGAAGTCAAGCATCTCCGTCCAGTTGTGGATCTCCGGGAAGTCGCTGGCTGGGGCGGTCGGCGTGACCACCTCCGAGGGGCGGGGCCCCGAGCTGGCTTCGGCTGTCATCAGGACCAGCACACACTCTGCTGGGGAGAAGGTTGTGGTGGGGAGGGAAAGGAGACCTCGAAAGCGGCCTTGGGGCTGGCACTGTGGCGTAAGGGGTAAAGCCGCCGCCTGCAGTGCTGGCATCCCATATGGGTGCTGCTTCAAGTCCCCGCTGCTCCACTTCCAACCCAGCTCTCTGCTGTGGCCTGGGAAAGCAGGAGATGGCCCAAGTGCTTGGGCCCCTGCACCCACGTGGGAGACCCAGAAGAAGCTCCTGGATCCTGGCTTTGAATCGGCGCAGCTCCAGCCGTTGCGGCCATTTGGGGAGTGAACCAGCAGGCAGAAGACCTCTCTCTCTCTCTCTCTCTCTCTCTCTCTCTCTCTCTGCCTCTCCTCTCTCTGTGTAACTCTGACTTTCAAATAAATAAATAAATCTTAAAAAAAAAAAAAAAAGAAAGCAGCTGCGCATTCGAAAGGTTGAAAGCCACAGGGACTGGGGTGCTTCGGGGAAGATGCTGGGACTGAAGACAAGCAAGAGGGGCGGGGTTTAGATTCAAACTGAATAAATGACATGCAACTCACCTGACGGCTTTGCCTCCAGAGCAGAGACGCGGTTATGAGGTTTCAGGGCTGGAAGAGACCAGGACTGTTTGCACCTGCTAGGCCCACCCGCCTGTAGCCCCGGGGGTCTTCTCCCCTGACGCCTCACTCTTTGGTCCTTGGCCCAGGTCATCAGCAGTGGCTCTTGCTCTGCCTTGGGCAGTGGGTGTGGGATGGACACACACACACACACACACATCTAACTCACCCCTGGGAAAATCCATGCACCCCTATGTGTCCAAGCCCCTGGTTGCCATTGTCCCTGGAGACAGAGCCACACTCACCTGAGCGTCTCTTGTGCGAACCCCCAGTGTGGTGCAGGAGCGCCTGTGTGGTCTGGGCAGCTGGGGAGCTGCGAGGAGGCTGCTGTGGGGCTGGCTTTCCTGCTGGCTGCGGGGGCCGCCCTCCGTCCGGGAAGCAGCTGTCACTGGCTGAGCTCTGTGGCAGATGGATGAGGTTTTCCTGCTGCTCCCCAGTCCCGCGAGAGGGGACGTCCCAGCAGAGGAGTCTCAGCACCCTGTCCCTCTAAGCCTCAGTTCTTCTCTCCTCTGCAAAAGGGGGCAACAGTCACGCCTGCTAACGGGGGTGAGCCATAGAGGCAAAGTGCATCGCACACGTGTGTCGCAGGGTAAATGCGCATTGTCCTCTCCGGCTTGGACTCCCACTCCAGTCCCCCAGAGCAGAGCTGCGTGTCTTGTGCAGGGCAGGGCTGGCGGGGGGTGGGGTGGGGGTTGCTTCTAAAAGAAATAGAAAAATCCAGTTGGGCTTTTGATGACTGGCCCCAGCCATTCTCTCCCGCCCCTCACAGGGCATCCAGCTCCCTGCCCTCACGAGAACCTGGGTGGAGAGGGAAGCCTACCGCATCTCCCCTCCCCTAGCCCCCACCCCCAGGCTCCACACTTGCTGCGGGAAGGGTGTGGTACGGGCTGGGGCAGGAGATGGCTCGTGGGGGAGAGACGGGACCTGCCTCTCCCTCTGTCCCGTGTCCTGTGCTACTGTGGGCAGTGATTCCTGCCCTGCAGAGCTCTCTCAGGCGGTCAGTCCCCTTGAGTGCCCCGTGGGGAGATGAGAGGGGTGTCTTCCTCGTCGCCGAGGCCCAGAGACGTTGCCTGTCTCACACACGCCACACTGCACGGCCGCAGAGCCTCCTGGGCCTGAGCCCTTGGTTTTGTAGGCACAGGGTCAGGAGCATGTTGGCTGAGGGCGTGAAATCCGCATGCATCGGAGGTGAAAGTCCCCTAATGCGAAAGGAGCCAGTTTAAAAGCGCGAGATGCTGTGGCAGTGAGTACACGCGGGTTTATGTGCAGCCCCGCTCTGTCGAGCTCCCCAGCACGGCCATCACCCCTAGAGAAAGCCCTGCATCTGTTCCACAGTCACCCTGCCCTCCCCGGCCCCCAGCCCCAGCCCCTGTCATTCCGCCTTCTGCTTCCATGGGCGGTCCCATTCCTGCCGTTTCATACACACGGACTCACGGGACAGGCCTTGGGCGCCTGCATCCCGCGCCGCAGTGCCTGGATCAGAGTCTGGTCTCCACTTCACTTCCAGTTTCAGTTTCCTGCCTGTGTGCACCCTGGGAGGCAGCAGTGTTGGCTCTAGTGGTGGGATCCCTGCCATCCACATAGGGGCCCGGGTGGACCCCCTGACTCCCGGCTTTGGCCTGGCCCAGCCCTAGTTGTCAGCGTTTAGGGAGTGAACCCGTAGCTGGAAGATTCTCTCCCTCCCTCTCTCTCTCTTTCTCTGCCACTCTGCCTTTCAATAAATAAATAAGATAAAAAATAAATAAGATAAAATAATAAATAAATAAGATAAAAAATTAAACGGACTCGTACTATGTGACTGTCTGTGGCTGTTAGTATAATGCTTCTGAGTTTATCCACACCGTATCTGTGTTTCATTCCCTCTCATGGTAAGTAATATTCCAGTACATGAGGTAGGGGACTTCAAACAGCTTCTGGGAAAATGGAATTAAAAGATAAATTTATTTTGCACAAATATGCAATTTTTTCCATAATAGGTATTTTGTATGAACTTAATTTTTTTTATTTACATCAAAGTGAAAGTCACACACACACACACACACACACACACAGATCTTCCATCTACTGGTTTATTCCCCAAATGCTCCCAACAGCTGGGGGCTGGACCAGAGCAAAGCCAGGAGCCAGAAACTCCGTCCAGGTCTCCCACATGAATGGCAGGGGCCCAAGTACGTGAGCCATCACTGCTGCCTCCCAGAGTCCGCATTAGCAGGAAGCTGGAACGAGAAGCGGGACTGGGACTTGAACCCAGGCACTGCCAATGGGGTGAGGGCGTCCCCAGCCAAGTCTTCACAGTGGCACCCAACACTCGCTCCAGTGAAACCCTCACCTTAGCCATCAGACTACTCCCAGATCAAGAAATCTGTCATCAACTGCAGCAAGGTAAAGATATGCTTGGTTTGATTTTTCAGACAATTCTTTCTGTCTCTAGGCTCTCAGTTTCTGGGCCTTTGATATCTTTTTCAGTAAGGGGCCTTTTCTCTGCACGCCTTCGCACTGTGCTGACCGAGCCTCTGCTGGACTGAGCCCCCTCCGCGGAGGCCCCTGGCTCCGGGCTCTGTCCTCGCCAGGTGGGTGACACCACGGGCATTTCTGTGCATTCTGGTGGCTCAGGTCACCGGGGTCTGGGAATCCTCCCTCCCACAGGGAGGCGTCACCTGCAGCCTCGGCCCCACCTGCTCCACTGCCCAGCGTGCGTTCACAGCAGAAGGAAGCGCCGGGCTTCCCCTGGCGGAGGCTCAGAGCGAAGCTGCTCCCACAGGAACAAATAAGTGACAGGTCTGCACTTTCCATGCAGCATGCAGGTTGTGACTTTTAATACATATCTTTTTTTTTTTTTTTTTGCTGGGAGGCGGCAGCTGGAAAGAGAGGGCCTGGCAGGAAGGCACAGAGGGAGGGGCGGGAGGCAGGCTCCCTGCCAAACTGGGCAGGGGGGGTGGGAGGGTGAACAGCTCTGTTCTCAGCAGCAGCAGCAGGGAAACAATTCCTGGAAATTTACTCTTTCTCCTTCCCCACCCCCAGCTCTTTTTTTTTCTCCCCCCTCCAAAAACTAGACAAGACATTGTGGGCAACAGTTCGAAAGGAAGGAAGGCACCAGGGAGCAGATATTGAGAGGCACAGATAAAGGCAGGGGTTGGCAGCAAGGGGCTTGTGTCCCGGTCCTGGAGGGAGGGGTGAGGCCAGCTGTCCCCACAGTCCCCCAGCTTACCTATGCAGCCGGGGCAGGTGGACTGCAGACAGACAAGGCTGAAGGGTTTGGGAACTATTGCACTGCTTCCGGAAGGTTCTGGAGTGAAGAAGCCAGGTCCAGCCATGGAGGTGACCCTGCCAAACCCAGAGAGGAGGAACTGAAGCTGAGCTGGGGAAACACGGCCTTGCAGGCCCCCTGGCCCTGTCTGGGACCTCTGGCCCGAGGCTCCCTGGCAATGACTCCCCCGGCCCTCTCCAAAGTCCTGCCTGTAAATACACTCTCTTCGAAGCCCGCTCTTCTACGTCTCCCTTAGACTCTGAGCTGCGTGCTCCCCAGGGGCCCACATCCACACTCCTGGCCAAGTGTCCTGGCTTGCTAGGAGAAATCTTTGTGGCCTGTTCTTGCTGTCCCCGAGCCCACAGCAGCACTTCGAGGTCCCTCTGAAAAACACGGTGACCACGAGACCACAGTCTACAGCTTCCACACAGTGGTGTTCAGGAGGCTTGGGGACGCCTGTGTCAGGGGACCGGCAGCTGTGTGCCACTAGGCTCTGCCTAGGGCTGCAATGGCGGGCCTGGCACAGTGGAAAGAAAAGCAAGGTGACAGGGATGTCCAATGTCCCCGGGGCCTCAAAGTCCCATCAGACCTTCACAGCTCCTCCCTCCCCCTGCCCCAGGCCTCTCATCCTACAGAGGGGGCCTGGTGCAGCCAGGAGAGCTGAGTCTGCCCGGATGAGGGAGTGGCCCTCACTGCTTTCCGTTGCAACCGTGGCCCTTTCGGAAGAGCAGAGGGTCAGTGACTTCCCACTTCTGCCACCCCTGCAAGGAAGGGGCTGTGTGTGTCCTGTCCCTGGCCTAGCAGGGTGGCACACAGCCTGCAGGCTAGGAACAGGCTGTGTGGTTAACACCTAAACCAGGCCCTTAGCAGCCCATGGCTTTGCTCTTTCCCGCCTTCTTGGAGGCCCCATGTGGGGGCCATGAGGGACATCCTGATACTGAAGAGACTGACCACATGGGCATGGACTGACCAGTCCATGGGGCCTGGTCCAGGCCAGTGCTCAAACTGCAGCCACAGCTCTGCTCCAGCCGATGGTTGGGGCAGGAAACATCTCACCCTCCCTCCCAACTCCTCTGCACCTGCTTTCTGCACGACATTCTCTCCGCCCTCCCTGCAACCAGGGCACTCATCCCGGGAGGGGACCTCTTCCTGCCCTCTCTCCTCCCCCTTCCACTCCTGGAGAGACTCTGACTTGGTTCTCCGAGGGGCGAGTCTGGATGCTGAGCCGGAAGAGGACGTGCAGGCTCAGAGAGGGGATTCTGTCTACTGTGTCTTGCCCATGACTGCAGATCCCCAAGAAAACCCCGCCTGTAATCAGGACGCCCGTGGTTCAGGACTTTGGCCCAATAGAGGCAGTTGTGCACTTGCGCTTACGTAAGAGCACTTGACATTCTCTGTGTGCACACCTGCACCGGCACCTGTGTCAGCAGCAGACAGAGTGTTGCTGAGTACTCATGTTTTCCTTCTGGAAAGAACTTGATAGTTCCAAGGACACAGATTTAGCAATCCCAAAAACAGTCGAAGAGGAGTAAGGTAAGATACAGGAATTTCCAGGAAGATGGCCATCAGGGACGAGGTGAGGACTGCAGTCCAGGGAGCCTGCTGGCCAGGCTGCTGCCACAGCCCTCCTGCCTGGGAGACCAGGCACGGCTCTGAACACCTCTAGTTCATGTGTGACCCCCGCAAAGCCATGCGGCTGTGGCTGGCGGCCCTCGTGGGCCTGTACTACCTGGTGCGCTGGTACCGGGAGAGGCAGGTGGTGAGCCAGCTCCTGGACAAGTTCGTCTTCATCACGGGCTGTGACTCCGGCTTCGGGAGCCTGCTGGCCAGACAGCTGGACAGGAGGGGCTTGAGGGTGCTGGCTGCGTGTCTGACGGAGGAGAGGGCTGAGCAGCTGAGGCGCCAGACATCGGACAGGGTGGAGACGGTGACCCTGGACGTCACCAAGACCGAGAGCATCGTGGCCGCCGCCCAGTGGGTGCAGGAGCACGTGGGGGACCGAGGTACCAGCCCCTCCCTGCTCCAGTCTGTTGGCTGCTTCTCTCCTCTCTAAGCTGGGACGAGAGTCCTGGGCTCAGATCTGTGGTGGGGGCCAGGCTCCCGCCTCAGCACTTGGTCTTGCTGCTCCTGGAGACCGTGGGCACCCACCGAGAGTTATGAGCTTCCTTCTCTGGTGGAGGCCCTGAGATGGCAGATGGGGCTTAGGAAGGTCAAAGACAAGGAGAGGCCGCTTCTCTGCCTTAAAAAGCATGCAATTGTGCGCATTTTATTATGGGAGGGGAAGAACCATGCTTTCTTTTATTGAAATATAGGTGGAACATGATCATTGCGGCCAATACCAAGAAGCATAAAGATAAAAACAAAATTCACCCTTCCATTGCCCTCCAGACATAGGTATGGCCAACAATTTGGCACCTGTAGGATTCTATTTAGCACATTTGTATGATATTTTTCCTTTAAAAAGATCAACTTTTAAAAAGATTTATGTATTCACTTAAAAGTCACAGTTAAAGAGAGAGATCTTTTTTAAAAAAAAGATTTATTTATTTATTTGAAAGTCAGAGTTACACAGAGAGAGGAGAGGCAGAGAGAGAGAGAGAGAGAGGTCTTCCAAAGGCCGGAGCTGTGCTGATCCGAAGCCAGGAGCCAGGAACTTCTTCCAGGTCTCCCACGCAAATGCAGGGGCCCAAGCACTTGGGCCATCTTCTACTGCTTTCCCAGACCATAGCAGAGAGCTGGATCGGAAGAGGAGCAGCTGGGACTCGAACCAGCGCCCATATGGGATGTCGGCACTGCAGGTGGTGGCTTTACCTGCTGTGCCACTGCACCGGCCCCTTAGAGAAAGATATCTTTTAACCACTGGTTCATTACCCAGGTAGTTACAGTGGCCGGGGCTGGGCTAGGCTGAAGCCAGAAGCCAAGAACTTCATCCAGGTCTCCCACGGGGGTAGCAGAGGCCCAAATGCTTAGGCCATCTTCCATGGCTTTTCCCAGGCCATTAGCAAGGAGCTAGATTGGAAGTGGAGCAGTCAGCACTGGGACTGGTGCCAACGGGATGTTAGTATTGCAGGTGGTGGCTTTCCCTGCTATGCCACAATATCAGCTTCAAGATGAACATTTTTAGAACATGATGGGACTTTTTTTTCAAATGTTATACTTAACGAGCCAGAATATTCTACCTTTTGATACAGCATTACTTACTTTAAACCACTTTCTGTGGTTGGGTGCTGAAACCATTTACTACATTTTCGTGTCATCCATGAAATCCTCTAAATTTCTATTTTCTGGGACCCTCTGTCCTTATATACTCATATTAATTGGGCTCTTAGAACATCGTGGTGTAGGAGGGCTCCTTCCCACGACGACAGGGGTCTTTCTGGACCAGTTCAGACTTGAGGTCACAGGACGAGGAACTCCGTTCGACCTTGGCATTGTCTATGTCTTCCTGCTAGCTTTTCCCAGAGCTGAGTGAGCTTGAAGGGGAGCAGTTGAGGGTGGCCTTCTGGTTGGGAGAGAGGAGGGGGGACACTTTCAGGGCCACAAGGCAGGGCCTGCATGCCGGGTTCCGGGGAGGGGCAGCCTGGCCTCCCTGAGACTCTGCCCCCCCGGGTTTTCCAAGCCGTGGTGCAGAAGGCTGCTCAGTATGAACGCAGGACGCTCCGGGCAGTCTGCAAGGTCAGAGGAAGGGCTGTTGTCCAAGGTCTCCCAAACAGAGGAGTTCAAGTCTTTCCTTCCCAGTGAAACTCTGCCTCGCTGCTCCACTCCCTCCTCTCCCTCCCCCCTCCCCTCCCCCCATCAGGTGGCTGAGGAGCACTGAGTGTTGGTCAGTTTTTCATTACTGTAATGAAACACCAGAAGCAGGCTACTTCGTCATGAAAGGGGGCTCAAGTTGGCACAAGCTTTACAAGGGCAAGGTCAAGGGGGATCTGGGGTTGGCTCCCTGCAGGCGGAGCCTTGAGGGGTCCAGGACACGCCTGAGCCTGAATCAGAGAGCACCGGGGCATGTTTTAGTCTGGTCTCTGCCCCTCTTACAGAGACCACGTTCACGAACGAGGGCTCCATGTGTTGAAACTGAAGACCTTTCCGGCAGCCCCAGCTCTTGGCACCAAGGTCAGTGTGCACCTCCCGGTAGGGATTCAGCTGCAACACAGAAGTCTCGGGGGACTCAGCCCTTCCCGAACCTCACCAGGCACCTACTGTGCAAGGAGCTTCCCAGGGCTCACGGAAGACGCATCAAAAAGATAACACGCATTTTCCACACACACTCTTTAAAGATTTACTTGTTTATTTGAAAGGCAGAGTTACAGAAAAAGAGAGAGGCAGAGAGAATCTTCTATCTTCCGCATGGGTGCAGGGGCCCAAGCACTTGCTGCTTTCCCAGGTGCATTAGCAGGGAGCTAAGTAGAGGAAGTAGAGCAGCTGGGACTTGAACCGGTGCCCACATGGGATGCCGGAGTCACAGGCAGCAGCTTAACTTGCTATGTCACAATGCCAGGCCCTGGAAATGTTTAAAGCCCTCTCAAATATGCTGTTAAAAAAAAAAGTCTGAAAATGTTTCCAGCATTGTGGCTTTGCAGGTTAAGCCAAGGCCCGAGCATTGCCATCCCATATCGGCATCCATTGAAGTCCCGACTGCTACACTTTTTTTTTTTTTTTTTTTTTGGACAGACAGAGTTAGACAGTGAGAGAGAGACAGAGAGAAAGGTCTTCCTTTTTCCGTAGGTTCACCCCCAAAATGGCCACAATGGCCAGAGTTGCGCTGATCTGAAGCCAGGAGCCAGGTACTTCCTCCTGGTCCCCCATGTGGGTGCAGGGCCCAAGCACTTGGGCCATCCTCCACTGCACTCCCGGGGCCACAGCAGAGAGCTGGACTGGAAGAGGAGCAACCGGGACAGAATCCGGCGCCCCAACCAGGACTAGAACCTGGGGTGCCGGGGCCACAGGCGGAGGATTAGCCTAGTGAGCCGCGGCGCCGGCCAACGACCCCTACACTTCTAATCCAGCTCCCTGCAAATGCACCTGGGAAAGCAGTGGAGGATGGCCCAAGTCCTTGGGTCCCTGCACACGTGAGGGAGACCCAGAAAAGCTCCTAGCTCCTGGCTTCAGCCTGGCACAGCCATGGCCATTGCGGCTATTTGGGGAGTGAACCAGCAGGTGGAAGATCTCTGTCTCTGTCTCTCTGAGTCTCCCTCAGAAAATCTGAATCTGTAGCGGGGATGATGACGGTGCCCAAGAGGGCAACGTGAGTGTGTGAACACGCAGACGTCAGTCCCACGTCTCCAGACAGTGTGGGCAGCAGGTCCTGTAGTGCAGGGTGTCGTGCGGGTGGCCGCCTGCTGTGCATTGCACATGCACTGAGCTGGGTCACGAAGAGCAGAGGGAGGAAGGCTGCCGGCTGCCGCCCAGCAGCTTACAGGATCCTCAGCCCCCCAAGCCCAACAGACACCGTGTGCTTCTCTGTGCTACCCCTCGCCCCCGTGCCACACCCGTCCCAGTGCTGTCAGGCTAGTGGACGTGGACTTGAACCACAGCTGTGTCCGCACTGCACACACACAACCTAGAGCTGCCCTCTCCTTTCCCAGGGCTCTGGGGCCTGGTGAATAATGCTGGCATCTCCATGCCCACGACCCCCAACGAGTGGCTGACCAAACAGGACTTTGTGGACGTGCTCAACGTGAACCTGCTGGGGATGATCGAGGTGACCCTGAGCCTGCTGCCCGCAGTGAGGAAGGCCAGGGGCCGTGTGGTCAACGTCTCCAGTGTCATGGGCCGCCTGTCACTGAGTGGTGGCGGCTACTGCATCTCCAAGCACGGCGTAGAGGCCTTCTCAACTCCCTCAGTTATTGGGATGAGCTGGGGCCCCTCCCTGGGTCCTATTCCTGTTCTTCTGTGGAAACCACTTTCTGAGCTTCCATAAATCACAGAGGTAGAAGCCCCCTCTTGAGGGCAAGGCCGGCTCTGGCATGTGATCCAACAGTTAAGTCTCCTGACTTCTGTTTCTCTGTGCACATGCAGGACACCTGGGGGCAAGCCCAGGAACAAAACTCAGGAAGTGAAAAGCACAGCCGTGGGCGGGCATTCACGGTGTGCCTGTGGGTGCTGTTGCACTGCTGTCCAGAGTGGCAGGGGACTGTGAGGGTCCTGACCCGGCCTGCGCTGCCAGGCTCCCTAGGGGAGGACACGCACCAAATAGGACCTCCGACTTGAGCCACGGACAGCAACCCAGAGAACAACTTGGCGAGAACGGCTTGAGGTAGAAGTCAGTGTGGCTGGGTCAGGTCCCCATCTCGCCCTCAGGGCAGCGCCCCCTCCCGAGCCCAGCCTTCCCCTCAACAAGGGTCTGTCAGTCCGGGAACCTGAGCAGGGGCAGGGGGGTCCCATCAGGGGCCTGGGGCTGTCACCGCAGTGCATCTCCTCCTTCCCTTCCCTTCCTGAGGGGCAAGGGTCACTGAGCGCCCACTGCAAACCTCTTTCATCCGGGCCTTAGACAGACGCAGCGGGCAGGCAGGGGTCTCTTGTCTCTGGGACCCACTGCACACTTGGTGGGGGCTGCGGACTACAGGGCGGGACCCAGGGCCCCCTCCCCCTGCGAAGCCCAGCCAAGATGGAGAAGGGGGCGCGGCTGGGGCCCTCACTGCCAGGCTGAGCCACACCCCGAGGGCCACCACCCAACGCCCCAAGCCGCCAATAGGGGGCACGCGTGGCCGGAGCGCGCAGGGTCTCAGTCTGGGCCCTGGGTCCTGGATCTGTCTGGGCTGTGGCTCCCCAGGAGGCCGAGGTGCAGGGGTAAGGGTGAGGACGGCCTGGGCAGGAGGCTGGCGGAGGGCGAGTGTATGCCAGCGGGAGACGCCCGCAGAGACGTTTGGCGCCTGCCTCGCTCCTCAGCCTCTCTGACATCCACGATTAGGATTCCAGGGTCCCGGGCTGGGGAGCAGTCCCGCCCCCTCCACCCTTCGCGGCCTCCCCCAGGGCTTCCCTGGCAGTGGCTCTAAGAGCAGTGCGGCCCCCGCCCGAGGGATGACTCTTCCAGGGCTGCAGAGCGCCCCCTGCTGGCACGAGGAGCCCTCAGGCCGGGCTGGGCTCTGCACCCCTGTTCTCCTCCCTGGGGCCGGCTTCCCGGGAGCCTCTGGTTGGGCCAGAACCTCCGTCCCTTTAGCCCAACTCCTGGGCCTCTGTCAGTAGGTCAGGGGCCCGGAAAGCAGGACTGGGCGGCGGCGGAGGCAGCGCAGCCCTGGCTGCTTCTGGCCCAGGCCCCGGCACAGTTCCCTGCCCTCTTCTCTCCTCCTCCTGCTGGGAAGGGCTGGTCTCAACCTCACCCAAGAGCCCTCCGTGCACACCTGTAGGGGTCGCGCTCCGGCCCTTGTGGGTCTCTGAAGGAAGCTCCTTGCCGTGTCCCAGCCCCATGATACTGACAAAGCTCAGCGCCTGCCATGTCCTGGCCAGGCCATCCCTGTGGTCATCAGTCGTCGGGGTCTTTCTGTTCACACCCTGGAGCTCACAGGGGTCCCAACTCTGAGTGTTACACGGCAGGACAGGCCCTACGGAGAAAGGGGGCAGAGGGCAGTGGCAGCAGTGCCCGGGGGGCCACACCTGCTTGTGCACACAGCCCCTCCTCCCTCCTTGCAACTCTGGGGCTTGCATGCCAATGTGTGCACCTGCAGGTGCACCTTTGTGGGTACCTGTGTGTGTGCACAGGAATACTGAGGGGAATCAGTGAGAAGAGGACAGGCGGGACATGGGTTATAATAGACACACATGCTTACACCTGCATATACCTAATCATGTGCACACACACATGTACACACGTACTATATAAGTGTACACATGAATGTGCACACACATATACACACATACATATGCACAAATGTACTAAACAAGTGCATGGGATATCTAATTAAATATTGGCTTATTCAAGTTCAATAAACACTCTGAAGTCCATACATAGGAGTTTGAGCCCTTGCAAAAGAAGTCCAAAGAACAGAGGGGTGGAGTTAGAATAAATAAGAGTTCTAGAAAGACAGTGGTTGGCTGGGAAGGAAGAACCTTGCCAGAGCACCTGGGAGCAGGCTGTCTACCACAGTCTTCTGGCTGCTCCCTCCTCTGCCGGAGCAGGTGCCACACTCAGGTTTCCCCGCAGCCTGTCTGTGCGTGACCCCGCAAAGCCATGTGGCTGTGTCTGGCGGCCCTCGTGGGCCTGTACTACCTGGTGCGCTGGTACCGGGAGAGGCAGGTGGTGAGCCAGCTCCTGGACAAGTTCGTCTTCATCACGGGCTGTGACTCGGGCTTCGGGAGCCTGCTGGCCAGACAGCTGGACAGGAGGGGCTTGAGGGTGCTGGCTGCGTGTCTGACGGAGGAGGGGGCCGAGCAGCTGAGGCGCCAGACATCGGACAGGGTGGAGACGGTGACCCTGGACGTCACCAAGACCGAGAGCATCGCGGCCGCCGCCCAGTGGGTGCAGGAGCGCGTGGGGGACCGAGGTACCAGCCCCTCCCTGCTCCTGTCTGCTGGCTGTTTCTCCCTCCTCCAGGCAGGAGCCCCAAGGCGTCTTTCAGGGCTTGAGGTCAGTCTGACTCTGGCCCTCACCGGTCAGGCCAGGCTGGGCCTCTTCTTCCTGCTGGGGGCCCTGTGGCCAGGGTGCGAGGCCGCCCTGCTGAGAATCTGCCCCCAGAACCCTCCTGTCTCGGGGCCTCCTTTCCAAGCAGAAGTTCTCATTGCTGGACGCTGACGCCTGGGCTGGAGCCGGGCACCTGAGGGAGGGGAGGGGAGCAGAGCCCTGGTCTCGGGTTTGCCCTGGAGGCTGGGGCCGCGCTGGAGCAGCCTCAGGCCCTCAGTACCTGCCCTGCTCCTCCTGGTGACCGTTGGCGTCCACCGAGAGGGGGACTCCTCCCATTTTCAGATGGGTCCGAAGGTTAAGGTCAGGTTTAGAGTAGCCGAGCTGGTGATGGGTCCCCTTTTCCCTCTTTTTACCTGTCTTTTAGGAAAGGAAAAGAACATTCCTTACACTTTTCCAAATGGAAACCATAATCTTTGTGGAAAATACTGAAAAACATAAAAATAGAAACCTGATCATCCCTAATCTGCACTGCTGAGAGAGGTAGTTTAATATTTGATGTCTACAGAATTCTATTTTTTGTCTAGTTTATGTCATATTCTTTTTTACTTAATATAAGTAGTATTACAATAAAAGGGAAATATCTTCAAAATGCCACGTATAGTTAATTAGAATATTCTGTCCTTAAAGCCTGCTATGCTATGTCGAGGTATCTAATTCCAAGTTTTAACTGTCTTGGTAAACTTCTGTACATTTGCCTCTCTGTGTGCCTGTGTGTGATTGGGATATTGGGAATAAATCTCTCTGGGTAGGAATTTGCATGGCCATGGGGCGGGGCTTGGTTCGAGCAGGGGAGGAGCCTGTCCACTGGCCACATCCCCTCATCCGGCCTGCAGGCCGTGGAGCCGTGTCTGCAGGCGGGGAAACTATGCAGTTCTGGAGCTTGTGTGTGGGTGTTCCAGGGAAGTTTCCTGGCAGATCCGTGAACTGGGGACCGGAAGAGCTGAGGAGACGGTGGCCTTCCCAGTTCACCGAAGAGGGCCCATGTTTTCTCGAGCAGAGGATGGCCTGCCAGGGGTGGGAGAAGTCGGCCTTGCCTGCTCCCCCAAGCCCGCCTGGTGGGTGCTTTCCACTCTTCACAAAAAGGCTTTTTTTTTTTTTTTAATTTATTTGAAAGGCAGAGTGACAGTGAGAAAGGGAGAGAGAGAGAGAGAGCAAGAGATCTTCCACATGATGGTTCGCTACCTAAATTGCCCTCGTGGACGGGGCTCCATCAGGCAATTGCCACAAGCAAGGATCACCACACAGTTTACACTTGGGGGTCAGGGACCCAAGTGCTCTGGCAATTGTCCACTGCTCTCCCAGGCGCATTAGCCCAGAGCTGTGATGCAAGATAGCTGGGACTGGAACCAACACTCTGATAGGGGATGCTGGTATCCCAAGCAGCGGCTTATCCAGCGTTGTTCAATTCTGGCCCCACCCACTGGGCTGCCAAGCACTTCCTGCAGGAATGTTGTTCAATATTGATAAAGTGGGGGCCAGCACTGTGGCACAGTATGTTAATCCTCTGCTTGTGGCAACAGCATCCCACATGGGTGCCGGTTCAAGTCCCGGCTGCTCCACTTCTGATCCAGCTCTCTGCTATGGCCTGTGAAAGCGGTAGACGATGGTTCAAGTCTTTGGGCCCCTGCACCCACATGGGAGACTCAGAGGCAGCTCCTGGCTCCTGGCTTCGGATCCACGCAGCTCCAGCTGTTGCGGCCATTTCGGGAGTGAACCAGGGGATGGAAGACTTCTCTATCTCTCCTTCTCACTGTCTGTAACTCTACCTCTCAAATAAACAAACATATCTATATATATATATATATATATTACAGGCAGAGTGGACAGTGAGAGAGAGAGACAAAGAGAAAGTTCTTCCTTTGCCGTTGGTTCACCCTCCAATGGCCGCTGCGGCCGGCGCACTGCGCTGAACCGAAGGCAGGAGCCAGGAGCTTCTCCTGGGGTGCAGGGCCCAAGCACTTGGGCCATCCTCCACTGCACTCCCGGGCCATAGCACAGAGCTAGCCTGGAAGAGGGGCAACCGGGACAGAATCCGGTGCCCTGATGGGACTAGAACCCGGTGTGCCGGCACCGCTAGGCAGAGGATTAGCCTAGTGAGCCGCGGCGCCGGCAATAAATATTTTTAAAACATTTATACAGTGGGTTTCAAGGCAGTCCACTGACGTCAAACACGTGACCCCTCTCCACATTCCACATTCCAAATTCACTTTCTCAACAAACCTTGTCTCAGCCTGCTTTGTTTTTTCTTCTTTCTGCTTTCTTTTTTTTTTTTTTTAAATCTTCCTCTATTCCCTCTCTTCCCCATTTGCTTCTCTCTATGGTCTGTTTTTTCCCGTGATAAACGATCAGCACTCACTACAAGCTGTTCAGAAAGTCTGAAAATGCAGCGGGGATGCCGACGGTGCCCAAGAGGGCAACATGAGCGCGTAAACACGCAGACGTCAGTCCCACGTCTCCAGACAGTGTGGGCAGCAGGTCCTGTAGTGCGGGGTGTCGTGCGTGGTGGCCGCCTGCTGTGCGCTGCGCACGCCCTGAGCTGGGTCACGAAGAGCAGAGGGAGGAAGGCTGCCGGCTGCCGCCCAGCAGCTTACAGGCTCCTCAGCCCCCCAAGCCCAACAGACACCGTGTGCTTCTCTGAGCTACCCCTCGCCCCCGTGCCACACCCGTCCCAGTGCTGTCAGGCTAGTGGACGTGGACTTGAACCACAGCTGTGTCTGCACTGCACACACACAACCTAGAGCTGCCCTCTCCTTTCCCAGGGCTCTGGGGCCTGGTGAATAATGCTGGCATCTCCATGCCCACGACCCCCAACGAGTGGCTGACCAAACAGGACTTTGTGGACGTGCTCAACGTGAACCTGCTGGGGATGATCGAGGTGACCCTGAGCCTGCTGCCTGCAGTGAGGAAGGCCAGGGGCCGCGTGGTCAATGTCGCCAGCTTTGTGGGCCGCCTGTCGCTGTTTGGTGGCGGCTACTGCATCTCCAAGTACGGCGTAGAGGCCTTCTCGGACTCCCTCAGGTATGGGGGTGCTCTTGGAGGGGAAGACTAGGCAGGGCCTGGCAGGTGGATAGGTGGGCACAAGGAGCCTGTGGGGATCTAGGACTCTGGGTGGGGCTGTGCATCCTGCTGTTGGCATGGAGCCCCATGGGAGAGATTGAATCAGGGAGCCACTCAGTCCAGTCTGGGTCGAGAGAGTGCCCTGGCAAGAGGGCAGGGCATGGCCCTGAGTGTGGGAGGCAAGGCCAGAGGCAGACGGACACTCCTCAGAAGACGGTGGCCATGGCTGAGCTGGGACCAGGCTGGGAGAAGTTGTGTGGGGGTGGAGGAGCGGGGGGCGGGGGGTTTCTATGGGCGGGACCTGGGCTGCATGGGCTGCGAGGGGACCAGGAGGGCACAGCATGGGAGTGATTGGCGGCAGAATACATCTGACTTACAGCCAATGAGTGCCTGGGGGTCCAATGCGTGGGCCCCGAGCAGAAGCAGCGCTGTGTCCCAGTGCCGTTCCCCAGCTGTGCCCTGGCCTCTGCACCCCAGTGCTCTGTGGGGTTTATTGTGTGTGGGGATGTGTGTGTGTGGATTCCATGAGCACTGTGTCTGTGCCCTCCGCCGCTCTGCCTTGCAGGAGGGAGCTCTCCCCCTTCGGGGTGAAGGTGGCCATCATTGAGCCCGGTGTCTTCAAGACCAACATGGCGGACCCGAAGAGATTCATGCAGTCCTTACGGGCGGCCTGGGAGCGCGCTGGCCCGGAGGTCAGGGCCATCTATGGCGAGGACTTTCTGGCAGCCTGTGAGTGAGTGTGCACACGGTAGAGGGACAATGTCCTGTGGGAATCCTGAGCCCAGCGCTTGTGCCTCCAGTCCTGACAGGGTCCATCCTGCAGGCTCCGCCTCCCCCCCCCAGGGCGGGCCGTTCAGCCCCATTTCCACGGTCATGTGTGGTCAGCGGTCACCTGAAGCCATGTGCAGGCTTAGTAGAACATACACCCCCGAGCACCAGAACCCGGGTAACTGCGGGCGGAAGTGAGGCAGGAAGGGAAGCTGCCACAGACTCACAGCCAGCTGGCGCTACAGAGAGCTGAGACCCTGTGCCTGCATTTCTGCGTGGCCGAGACCTTGCGTTTAGGTGCCCGGCTTTGCCAGGTGGAGGGGAGTGGGGGCTGAGTGGGGCCATTTTCCTGTGGAGTCAGGGCTGGGGCTTCTCCAGGGGAGCCGGGTGCATGGGATTGGGTGCTTCGGAGGAGGAGGGTGAGAAGTGGAGAGCCCTTTCCTTCTACACTGCAAGCAGGAGCCAGCGAAGGCAGCAGCACACATGAGATCTTTCTTATTCTGTGCAGACATGAAGTTGGGTCAGTTGTTCAAGTCTCCGTTCAGGCAGGACCTCCCCTTGGTGACGGACTGCATGGAGCACGCGCTGACCGCCTGCCACCCCCGCACCCGCTACTCGCCAGGCTGGGACGCCAAGCTCTTCTTCCTCCCCATGAGCTACATGCCCACCTTCCTGGTGGACGCCATCATTCACTGGTTTTCCCCGAGGCCAGCCCAGGCCCTGTGAAGCCTCGCCCAGGGCACCGGGTGGTGCAGAGCTGGGCTCCGAGAGAGGAGAAAGGTGGGTGGGGGCGATCTCCTGTCTCCTTCTGCCCCTCCCCAGGGATCTTCTTGTGCTAGGTTGCCTTGGGCGGCCACTCGAGGCTCCCAGCTTCCTGGCTCCCAGGGCACATCTGAACAGCCGTGGGCGTAGCAGGTGCAAGGAGCCCACACCTGCTCTGTCTCCTCAGGGTGGGCGTCGGCCTGTGCACTCTGCACCTCTTGAGAAGACACCTGTGCACTGCTGGGGATGGGCAGAAGCAAACCCCACCCCTGCCCAGCAGCCTGGGACCGACTCAGCTGGCGCTGGCAGGTGGGACACACCTCATAGGTTCTCAGTGTATGACACACAAATCAATTTAGCATTTGTCATAAAACCATGGTTTTCTTGTGGTTGTTTTAAGGAAAAAAATTTCAAAGATGTGGGGAGCAACTGAGACTAGACTAAGTTACTGGAATTAAGACTTATTCTATGCATCTGCTCTCCCACAATATGGCGCTGGGGAGGAGTAAAACTTCTACGCAGCTGCCTCTCGCCAATTTGACTGATGAGCTGCAGGAGCTGATCCTGCTCCTGATTGGAGGAGAGCAGCGTGCTCGGCGTGTGGGTAGCAGAATTGGGATTGGTGGAGGAGGACTATAAAGGAGGAGAGAGACAACATGCACCGGGAACATCTGAAGGAACACCTGAGCAGCCCCTGAGAGAGCCGGCCGGCAGTGTGCCGCTCCTCCGTGGAAGCAGGGAAAGTGGCTAGGGGGAACCGCCCTTCCACGGAGGTGGAGGGGACGGCAGCCAACCCGGGAAAGACCAGCAGCAAACCCGGGAAGGGCCGAGCAGACAAAAGATGCGCAGGGTCCTGTGTCGTTCCTCCGCGAATGGGGGAGCGATTACCGCATTCTCCTTCCAAAACCTCCCACCCCATGGTGATTCAACCTTGGCCTTGTTAAGGTGGGCATGGACTTTTGGAGGAAGGGTCAGTAGAGGAGGGGTCGATCCCCGGGGATTTGAAGCGGGACATTGGGTGTTCCTGGGCCTCTCTCGGGCCTGCTGACACACAGGGGAGAAGCAATTGCTTCCCGCTAGGATTAATACCCTGCCCTGATACCAGGATGAGACAGGGCAGCAAGCAAAGAGATGCCCACAGGGGGAGACATGGACCCAAGCCCATTCCCTTGGGAACTCAGGCCCTCACCGCTCCTTTGGCAGCCGTCCCCTCCCCTCCTTTAGATTCCTTGCACCTGCACTTCTGCCACCTGTGGGCACCACAGGCTGGCGCCCCTCCCACACCTATAGCTGCCTGCACTACTGTGCTCATGGGGGTGGACACGCACCCAAATAGGACCACTGGACCGGACACGGACTGCAACTCAGGGAACAACTTGGTGAGAACGGCTTGAGGTAGAAGTCAGTGTGGCTGGGTCAGGTCCCCATCTCGCCCTCAGGGCAGCGCCCCCTCCTGAGCCCAGCCTTCCCCTCAACAAGGGTCCGTCAGTCTGGGAACCTGAGCAGGGGCAGGGGGGTCCCATCAGGGGCCTGGGGCTGTCACCGCAGTGCATCTCCTCCTTCCCTTCCCTTCCTGAGGGGCAAGGGTCACTGAGCGCCCACTGCAAACCTCTTTCATCCGGGCCTTAGACAGATGCAGCGGGCAGGCAGGGGTCTCTTGTCTCTGGGACCCACTGCACACTTGGTGGGGGCTGCGGACTACAGGGCGGGACCCAGGGCCCCCTCCCCCTGCGAAGCCCAGCCAAGATGGAGAAGGGGGCACGGCTGGGGCCCTCACTGCCAGGCTGAGCCACACCCCGAGGGCCACCACCCAACGCCCCAAGCCGCCAATAGGGGGCACGCGTGGCCGGAGCGCGCAGGGTCTCAGTCTGGGCCCTGGGTCCTGGATCTGTCTGGGCTGTGGCTCCCCAGGAGGCCGAGGTGCAGGGGTAAGGGTGAGGACGGCCTGGGCAGGAGGCTGGCGGAGGGCGAGTGTATGCCAGCGGGAGACGCCCGCAGAGACGTTTGGCGCCTGCCTCGCTCCTCAGCCTCTCTGACAGCCACGATTAGGATTCCAGGGTCCTGGGCTGGGGAGCAGTCCCGCCCCCTCCACCCTTCGCGGCCTCCCCCAGGGCTTCCCTGGCAGTGGCTCTAAGAGCAGTGCGGCCCCCGCCCGAGGGATGACTCTTCCAGGGCTGCAGAGCGCCCCCTGCTGGCACGAGGAGCCCTCAGGCCGGGCTGGGCTCTGCACCCCTGTTCTCCTCCCTGGGGCCGGCTTCCCGGGAGCCTCTGGTTGGGCCAGAACCTCCGTCCCTTTAGCCCAGCTCCTGGGCCTCTGTCAGGAGGCCAGGGCCCGGAAAGCAGCACTGGGCGGCGGCGGAGGCAGCGCAGCCCTGGCTGCTTCAGGCCCAGGCCCCGCCCCAGCTCCCTGCCCCCTTCCCTCCTCCTCCTGCTGGGAAGGGCTGGTCTCAACCTCACCCAAGAGCCCTCCGTACACACCTGTAGGGGTCGCACTCCGGCCCTTGTGGGTCTCTGAAGGAAGCTCCCTGGTGTGTCCCAGCCCCATGATACTGACAAAGCTCAGCGCCTGCCATGTCCTGTCCAGGCCATCCCTGTGGTCATCATTTGTCGGGGTCTTTCTGTTCACACCCTGGAGCTCACAGGGGTCCCAACTCTGAGTGTTACACGGCAGGACAGGCCCCACGGAGAAAGGGGGCAGAGGGCAGTGGCAGCAGTGCCCGGGGGGCCACACCTGCTTGTGCACACAGCCCCTCCTCCCTCCTTGCAACTCTGGGGCTTGCATGCCAATGTGTGCACCTGCAGGTGCACCTTTGTGGGTACCTGTGTGTGTGCACAGGAATACTGAGGGGAATCCGTGAGAAGAGGACAGGCGGGACATGGGTTATAATAGGCACACATGCTTACACCTGCATATACCTAATCATGTGCACACACACATGTACACACGTACTATATAAGTGTACACATGAATGTGCACACACATATACACACATACATATGCACAAATGTACTAAACAAGTGCATGGGATATCTAATTAAATATTGGCTTATTCAAGTTCAATAAACACTCTGAAGTCCATACATAGGAGTTTGAGCCCTTGCAAAAGAAGTCCAAAGAACAGAGGGGTGGAGTTAGAATAAATAAGAGTTCTAGAAAGACAGTGGTTAGCTGGGAAGGAAGAACCTTGCCAGAGCACCTGAGGTCAGGCTGCCTACTGCGTTCTTCTGGCTGCTCCCTCCTCTGCTGGAGCAGGTGCCACACTCAGGTTTCCCCGCAGCCTGTTTGTGCGTGACCCCACAAAGCCATGTGGCTGTGTCTGGCGGCCCTCGTGGGCCTGTACTACCTGGTGCGCTGGTACCGGGAGAGGCAGGTGGTGAGCCAGCTCCTGGACAAGTTCGTCTTCATCACGGGCTGTGACTCGGGCTTCGGGAGCCTGCTGGCCAGACAGCTGGACAGGAGGGGCTTGAGGGTGCTGGCTGCGTGTCTGACGGAGGAGGGGGCTGAGCAGCTGAGGCGCCAGACATCGGACAGGGTGGAGACGGTGACCCTGGACGTCACCAAGACCGAGAGCATCGCGGCCGCCGCCCAGTGGGTGCAGGAGCACGTGGGGGACCGAGGTACCAGCCCCTCCCTGCTCCCGTCTGCTGGCTGCTTCTCCCTCCTCCAGGCAGGAGTCCCAAGGCGTCTTTCAGGGCTTGAGGTCAGTCTGACTCTGGCCCTCACCAGTCAGGCCAGGCTGGGCCTCTTCTTCCTGCTGGGGGCCCTGTGGCCAGGGTGCGAGGCCGCCCTGCTGAGAATCTGCCCCCAGAACCCTCCTGTCTCGGGGCCTCCTTTCCAAGCAGAAGTTCTCATTGCTGGACGCTGACGCCTGGGCTGGAGCCGGGCACCTGAGGGAGGGGAGGGGAGCAGAGCCCTGGTCTCGGGTTTGCCCTGGAGGCTGGGGCCGCGCTGGAGCAGCCTCAGGCCCTCAGTACCTGCCCTGCTCCTCCTGGTGACCGTTGGCGTCCACCGAGAGGGGGACTCCTCCCATTTTCAGATGGGTCCGAAGGTTAAGGTCAGGTTTAGAGTAGCCGAGCTGGTGATGGGTCCCCTTTTCTCTCTGTCTTTCCCCCACACTTTCTGTCTTACTTTGAGAGGAAAAAAGAACATTCCTTACAGTTTCCTATAACTGTGCTCATGTGGACGATACTGAGAAACACAAACAAAAGCAACTTTAGCCTTAAACTGAAAACCTGGAGGAGCAGACGGGTAACATTTTATTACCAGAGGAACAGTCCGGGCTGGCAGCTCAGTGTGCGGGTTCCAACTTGCTGGAGGCCAGAGCTGGTGGCAGGAGGGAGGCTGTGTCAGGGAGCAGGTGGTCCTGGGAAAGAGGCATCTCTCCATCCAAATGGCTCATTTCCACCCACGAAGCCAGCATGCGGCAGGGGGTTAAAGCACAAGGGGTTTCGCAGGGAGATTAGGAATAAAGCAAGAGAAAGCCCCTGATTAGCAGGAGGCATTTCTAGCTCTGCTCTGCTCTGCTGATTTTCTGGGAAACCCAGGGTGTCAAGCAGGGAGGTTTTGGGGGGCTTGGCAGTCAGGTGTGTCAGGGCTCATTCCTAGCGGGGGGTGAGGTCTGCCTTTCCACTCTCCCCTTTTCTGGGCTCTCTCGGATCCTACGTCAAGCTCATTATTTCTAAGACTGCTGGGGGTAAATCTTCACAGTGTTGGCCTTTGGATCCTTGTCAGTGCAACTGTGAAAGGGGGAGGGAGATGCCTGTTGTAGGGTGACAAATCCCTGTAGATGTAACACAGCGACTTTACACCCTAAGGAAGTTCCCAGTGCTCTTAGTAGAGGTGTTAGTCCTGATTCTAAAAATTTTTTCAAAAATGAACCTGCTTCCAGATGGTACCCAGGAAAAGAAAGGCAAAACCTAGTCTCTGAATCCTTGGAAAAGCATGTGTTTGACTCAGGTCGTCTTGGCATGATTGGTCTTGTAGGTGTGTCATCATTTCACTGCAATCAAAGCAAATCAGAAAGATTACCAGTTGTCACCATGGGCCTTTAAGCTCCACTCAGTAGAGCCCTGGGCGACAGCTCAGGATAGGGGTCAACAGAGAAGTCACTGGGGAGGCATTGGTTAGAGAGCTGGAAAAATGCTCTGAGCCACGTTAGCCCCACCACCACCACCACCACCACCACACACACCCTCCTGTTTGGCTGAGGGCACACGTTTCTGTCTGTCCTGTTCGCCTCTGGGGGATTGCCTTCCTCAGTAGGAAACCTGAAGAACAATCCTCTCGCCTTCCACGCAGCCCAGCAGGCCCTAACACGAAAAGGCACACTTGGAGTCGTGGAGGGACCGGGGTACTAGCCTTAACATCTTCCCTCCCACCTGCGGGACTGGGGGACACACAACCGAAGCCAGGTCCAACCACACAAAGCCCAGTGGGTGAAGATGGAGGGCTCCCTCCACGTACCCAGTTCCACTTCCTGGTCTCAGCGCCTGTCCACTCCCCAACCCCCTCCCCGCCTACGAAGTACCCTTTCCTCAGACCAACACAGCGAGAGCAGGGAGCAAGTGGCCAGAGGGTGGGAGGGAAGAGTCCCTGAGAGAAAGGGCGCCCAGTGGTGCTGGGGTGGCCCTGGGGTCCCAGCCTTGAGGACCGCTCACCACCAACTGCACTGGGGGAGCAGTCTTTCCTCCAACCTGAGGTGGGGAGGCCGCAGGAAGAAAAGACGCCAAACGCCTGGGCTGCCTCAACAATTTTATTACCAGATAACCAGGTGTTGCTGCTGGCTGATAGGAGAGAGAGATGAGAGAGGGCACAGAGACAGTTTGAGTCAGGAGCCATCTATCCACAAAAAATGTGCTCTTTGGTGTCCAAAAAGCCGCAAGGGGGGATTTTAAAGGACAAGGACTGCCTACAGGATGTGCAGCCTCCCCAAGCCCAGCAGACCCTGTATGCTTCTCTGTGCTATCCCACACCCCAGACACCTGTCACAGGGATGTCAGGCTAGTGGGTGTGACCTTGAACCATGCTGAGTCCCCCACTGCACACACACAGCCCAGAGCTGCCCTCTCCTTTCCCAGGGCTCTGGGGCCTGGTGAATAACGCTGGCGTCTCCACCGCCACGGCCCCCAACGAGTGGCTGACCAAACAGGACTTTGTGGACGTGCTCAACGTGAACCTGCTGGGGACGATCGAGGTGACCCTGAGCCTGCTGCCCGCAGTGAGGAAGGCCAGGGGCCCCGTGGTCAATGTCTCTAGTGTCATGGGCCGCTTGTCGCTGTTTGGTGGCGGCTACAGCATCTCCAAGCATGGCGTAGAGGCCTTCTCGGACTCCCTCAGTTATTGGGGTGTTCTTGGAGGGGAAGACTAGGCAGGGCCTGGCAGGTGGACAGGTGGGCACAGTGGGCTTCTGGGGGTCCAGGGCCCTGGGTGGGGCTGTGCATCCTGCTGTTGGCATGGAGCCCCATGGGAGAGATTGAATCAGGGAGCCACTTAGTCCAGTCTGGGTCGAGAGAGTGCCCTGGCAGGAGGGCAAGGCATGGCCCTGAGTGTGGGAGGCAAGGCCAGAGGCAGACGGACACTCCCCAGAAGACGGTGGCCATGGCTGAGCTGGGACCAGGCTGGGAGAAGTTGTGTGGGGGTGGAGGAGCAGGTTGGGATTCTATGGGCAGGACCTGGGGCTGCATGGGCTGCGAGGGGACCAGGAGGGCACAGCGTGCGAGTGATTGGCTGCAGAATATGTCTGACTTACAGCCAATGAGTGCCTGGGTGTCCAATGCGTGGGCCCCGAGCAGAAGCAGCGCTGTGATCCCAGTACTGTTCCCCAGCTGTGCCCTCCCCGCTCCCCGGCCTCTGCACCCCAGTGCTCTGTGGGGTTTATTGTCTGTGTGGGTGTGTGTGTGGATTCCATGAGCACTGTGTCTGTGCCCACTGCCGCTCTGCCTTGCAGGAGGGAGCTCTCCCCCTTCGGGGTGAAGGTGGCCATCATTGAGCCCGGTGCCTTCAAGACCAACCTTGCGGACCCGAAGAGATTCATGCAGTCCTTACGGGCGGCCTGGGAGTGCGCTGGCCCGGAGGTCAGGGCCATCTATGGCGAGGACTTTCTGGGAGCCTGTGAGTGAGTGTGCACACGGTAGAGGGACAATGTCCTGTGGGAATCCTGAGCCCAGCCCTTGTGCCTCCAGTCCTGACAGGGTCCATCCTGCAGGCTCCGCCTCCCCCCCCCCCCGGCAAGGGCGGGCCGTTCAGCCCCATTTCCACGGTCATGTGTGGTCAGCGGTCACCTGAAGCCATGTGCAGGCTTAGTAGAACATACACCCCCGAGCACCAGAACCCGGGTAACTGCGGGCGGAAGTGAGGCAGGAAGGGAAGCTGCCGCAGACTCACGGCCAGCTGGCGCTACAGAGAGCTGAGACCCTGTGCCTGCGTTTCTGCGTGGCCGAGACCTTGCGTTTAGGTGCCCGGCTTTGCCAGGTGGAGGGGAGTGGGGGCTGAGTGGGGCCATTTTCCTGTGGAGTCAGGGCTGGGGCTTCTCCAGGGGAGCCGGGTGCATGGGATTGGGTGCTTCGGAGGAGGAGGGTGAGAAGTGGAGAGCCCTTTCCTTCTACACTGACTGCAAGCAGGAGCCAGCAAGGCAGCAGCACACATGAGATCTTTCTTATTCTGTGCAGACATGAAGTTGGGTCAGCCGTTCAAGTCTCCGTTCAGGCAGGACCTCCCCTTGGTGACGGACTGCATGGAGCACGCGCTGACCGCCTGCCACCCCTGCACCCGCTACTCGCCAGGCTGGGACGCCAAGCTCTTCTACATCCCCATGAGCTACATGCCCACCTTCCTGGTGGACGCCATCATTCACTGGTTTTCCCCGAGGCCAGCCCAGGCCCTGTGAAGCCTCGCCCAGGGCACCAGGTGGTGCAGAGCTGGGCTCTGAGAGAGGAGAGAGGTGGGTGGGGGCGCTCTCCTGTCTCCTTCTGCCCCTCCCCAGGGATCTTCTTGTGCTAGGTTGCCTTGGGCGGCCACTCGAGGCTCCCGGCTTCCTGGCTCCCAGGGCACATCTGAACAGCCGTGGGCGTAACAGGTGCAAGGAGCCCACACCTGCTCTGTCTCCTCAGGGTGGGCGTCGGCCTGTGCACTCTGCACCTCTTGTGAAGACACCTGTGCACTGGTGGGGATGGGCAGAAACAAACCCCACCCCTGCCCAGCAGCCTGGGACCGACTCAGCCGGCGCTGGCAGGTGGGACACACCTCATAGGTTCTCAGTGTATGACACACAAACCAATTTAGCATTTGTCATAAATCCATGGTTTTCTTGTGGTTATTCAAAAAAAAATTCAAAGATTACTGCATCTTCTCCCCCCACCATGATTCAACCTTGGCCTTGGGGAAGGTGGGGGGGACTCTAGTAGAAATGTCAGGTGCCTCCTGAGGTCAGGTGAAGAGGGGCCAACCTGTGGAGGGATTTGAAGGGGACATTGGGTTTTCCTGGGGCTCTCTCAGGCCTGCTGACACAGGGGAGAAGGGATTGCTTCCCGCTAGGATTAATACCCTGCCCTGATTCCAGGATGAGACGGTGCAGCACACAAGGAGATGCCCACAGGGCGAGATATGGACCCAAGCCCTTTCCCGTGGGTACTGAACCCCTCCCCACGCCTCCAGGAGCTGACCCTCCCCTCCATTAGAGTCCCTGCACCTGCACCTCTGCCACCCTTGGGCAGCCCAGGCCCGCGCCCCTCCCACGCTCTCAGCTGCCTGCCCTGTTAGGCTCATGTGGGTGGACAAGCACCCAAATAGGGCCTCTGCCCGAGGCACGGACTGCAACTCGGGGGCCGACTGAGTGACAACAGCGGGAGGAAGATCAGTGTGTCTCGGTCAAGTCCCCATCTCCACCCTCAGCGCAGCCCCTCCTCCCGAGTCCAGCAGGGCTCCGCTGGGGCCTGACCACCAGAGACCACAATGCCCAAGCGGCGGATCGCCAGTAGAGGGCGCGTGGCCGGAGCGAGTAGGGACTCCACCATGGGCCCGGCTGGGTATGCTCTCCAGGACGTCGAGGCGCAGGGGTCAGGGTGGAGACGGCCTGGGCAGGGGCTGGCGGCGGGCGAGCGTATCACGCGGCAGTTGCCGCTGAGACGTTTGGCTCCAGCCTCGCGCCTCAGCCTCCCTGACGGCCAGGATTAGGATTTGAGGGTCCTGGGGTGCAGAGCGGTCCCGCCCACTCTGCCTTCCTAGCAGTGTCTCTAAGAGCAGGTGCGGCCCTCCAAGGAGGGATGAATCCTCCAAGGCTGCAGAGCGCCCCCTGCTGGCACGAGGAGCCCTTCATGCCGGCCTGGGCTCTGCACCCCTGTTCTCCTCCCTTGGGCCGGCTGCCTGGGAGCCTCTGGTTGGGCCAGAACCTCCGTCCCTGCAGCCCAGCTCCTGGCCTCTGTCAGGAGCCCAGGGCCCGGAAAGCAGCACTGGGCGGCGGCGGAGGCAGCACAGCCCTGGCTGCTTCTGGCCCAGGCCCCGGCCCAGCTCCCTGCCCCCTTCCCTCCTCCTCCTGCTGGGAAGGGCTGGTCTCAACCTCACCCAAGAGCCCTCCGTGCACACCTGTAGGGGTCGCCTTCCGGCCCTTGTGGATCTCTGAAGGAAGCTCCCTGGTGTGTCCCAGCCCAGTGATACTGACAAAGCTCAGCGCCTGCCATGCCTTGGCCAGGCCAGACCCCTTGATCACTGGGGTCTTCCTGAGTTGAGACCCTGGAGGTCTTGCGGGTCCCAACTCTGAATGTGACCCGGCAGGACAGGCCCAGTGTATCTGAGGGCAGAGGGCAGTGACAGCAGTGCCCAGGGGAGGCGGGGAGGGGTGAGAGAGCCACACCTACTTGTGCACACAGCCCCTCCTCCCTCCCTGCAACTCTGGGGCTTGCATTCCAATGTGTGCACCTGTGGATGCGCCTGTATGGGTACCTGTGTGTGTGTACAGGATCCGAGGGGAATCAGTGAGGAGTGGATGGGCAGGACACGGGTTATGATGGACACACATGCATACACACAAGCACACATGTACACACGTTCTATGTATGTGTACACATGTGTGTGCACACACATATACACACATACATATGCACAATAATTTAGATCATATGTTTATTCCAGTTCAATAAAAACTCTGATGTCTACACATAGGAGTTTGAGCCCTTGCAAAAGAAGTCCAAAGAACAGAGGGGTGGAGTTAGAATAAATAAGAGTTCTGGAAAGACAGTGGTTAGCTGGGAAGGAAGAACCTTGCCAGAGCACCAGGGAGCAGGCTGTCTACCACAGTCTTCTGGCTGCTCCCTCCTCTGCCGGAGCAGGTGCCACACTCAGGTTTCCCCGCAGCCTGTCTGTGCGTGACCCCGCAAAGCCATGTGGCTGTGTCTGGCGGCCCTCGTGGGCCTGTACTACCTGGTGCGCTGGTACCGGGAGAGGCAGGTGGTGAGCCAGCTCCTGGACAAGTTCGTCTTCATCACGGGCTGTGACTCGGGCTTCGGGAGCCTGCTGGCCAGACAGCTGGACAGGAGGGGCTTGAGGGTGCTGGCTGCGTGTCTGACGGAGGAGGGGGCCGAGCAGCTGAGGCGCCAGACATCGGACAGGGTGGAGACGGTGACCCTGGACGTCACCAAGACCGAGAGCATCGCGGCCGCCGCCCAGTGGGTGCAGGAGCGCGTGGGGGACCGAGGTACCAGCCCCTCCCTGCTCCCGTCTGCTGGCTGCTTCTCCCTCCTCCAGGCAGGAGTCCCAAGGCGTCTTTCAGGGCTTGAGGTCAGTCTGACTCTGGCCCTCGCCCGACAGGCCAGGCTGGGCCTCTTCTTCCTGCTGGGGGCCCTGTGGCCAGGGTGCGAGGCCGCCCTGCTGAGAATCTGCCCCCAGAACCCTCCTGTCTCGGGGCCTCCTTTCCAAGCAGAAGTTCTCATTGCTGGACGCTGACGCCTGGGCTGGAGCCGGGCACCTGAGGGAGGGGAGGGGAGCAGAGCCCTGGTCTCGGGTTTGCCCTGGAGGCTGGGGCCGCGCTGGAGCAGCCTCAGGCCCTCAGTACCTGCCCTGCTCCTCCTGGTGACCGTTGGCGTCCACCGAGAGGGGGACTCCTCCCATTTTCAGATGGGTCCGAAGGTTAAGGTCAGGTTTAGAGTAGCCGAGCTGGTGATGGGTCCCCTTTTCCCTCTTTTTACCTGTCTTTTAGGAAAGGAAAAGAACATTCCTTACACTTTTCCAAATGGAAACCATAATCTTTGTGGAAAATACTGAAAAACATAAAAATAGAAACCTGATCATCCCTAATCTGCACTGCTGAGAGAGGTAGTTTAATATTTGATGTCTACAGAATTCTATTTTTTGTCTAGTTTATATCATGTTCTTTTTTACTTAATATAAGTAGTATTACAATAAAAGGGAAATATCTTCAAAATGCCACGTATAGTTAATTAGAATATTCTGTCCTTAAAGCCTGCTATGCTATGTCGAGGTATCTAATTCCAAGTTTTAACTGTCTTGGTAAACTTCTGTACATTTGCCTCTCTGTGTGCCTGTGTGTGACTGGGATATTGGGAATAAATCTGGGTAGGAATTTGCATGGCCATGGAGCGGGGCTTGGTTCGAGCAGGGGAGGAGCCTGTCCACTGGCCACATCCCCTCATCCGGCCTGCAGTCCGTGGAGCCGTGTCTGCAGGCGGGGAAACTCTGCAGTTCTGGAGCTTGTGTGTGGGTGTTCCAGGCAAGTTTCCTGGCAGATCCGTGAACTGGGGACCGGAAGAGCTGGGGAGACGGTGGCCCTCCCAGTTCACCGAAGAGGGCCCATGTTTTCTCGAGCAGAGGACGGCCTGCCAGGGGTGGGAGAAGTCGGCCTTGCCTGCTCCCCCAAGCCCGCCTGGTGGGTGCTTTCCACTCTTCACAAAAAGGCTTTTTTTTTTTTAAATTTATTTGAAAGGCAGAGTGACAGTGAGAAAGGGAGAGAGAGAGAGAGAGCAAGAGATCTTCCACATGATGGTTCGCTACCTAAATTGCCCTCGTGGACGGGGCTCCATCAGGCAATTGCCACAAGCAAGGATCACCACACAGTTTACACTTGGGGGTCAGGGACCCAAGTGCTCTGGCAATTGTCCACTGCTCTCCCAGGCGCATTAGCCCAGAGCTGTGATGCAAGATAGCTGGGACTGGAACCAACACTCTGATAGGGGATGCTGGTATCCCAAGCAGCGGCTTATCCAGCGTTGTTCAATTCTGGCCCCACCCACTGGGCTGCCAAGCACTTCCTGCAGGAATGTTGTTCAATATTGATAAAGTGGGGGCCAGCACTGTGGCACAGTATGTTAATCCTCTGCTTGTGGCAACAGCATCCCATATGGGTGCCGGTTCAAGTCCCGGCTGCTCCACTTCTGATCCAGCTCTCTGCTATGGCCTGTGAAGGCAGTAGATGATGGTTCAAGTCTTTGGGCCCCTGCACCCACATGGGAGACTCAGAGGCAGCTCCTGGCTCCTGGCTTCGGATCCACACAGCTCCAGCTGTTGCGGCCATTTCGGGAGTGAACCAGGGGATGGAAGACTTCTCTATCTCTCCTTTTCACTGTCTGTAACTCTACCTCTCAAATAAATAAATATATATATATATATTACAGGCAGAGTGGACAGTGAGAGAGAGAGACAAAGAGAAAGTTCTTCCTTTGCCGTTGGTTCACCCTCCAATGGCCGCTGCGGCCGGCGCACTGCGCTGAACCGAAGGCAGGAGCCAGGAGCTTCTCCTGGGGTGCAGGGCCCAAGCACTGGGGCCATCCTCCACTGCACTCCCGGGCCATAGCACAGAGCTAGCCTGGAAGAGGGGCAACCGGGACAGAATCCGGTGCCCTGATGGGAATAGAACCCGGTGTGCCCGCACCGCTAGGC